AAACCTGAAGTGAAACAGAATTGAATAAAATGAAATTGTAAACCATTGAGAACATTTTGGGCGGCACGGTGGCGCAGTGGTTAGTATAGTTGCTCCAGAGTGCAGGGGCCCTAGGTTTAACTTCAGGGTTTGATGTCTGTGTGGAATTACGACTATTTTTGTGCCCTATGCTCATGTGAGTTTCCTCCAGGTGCTCCGTTTTCCTCCCACAGTCCAAAGACATACTGGTAGGTTCATTGTCTTCTGGGAAAACTGGACTTAGATGTGAGTTTTTGTGCATGTTTGTATGTCTGTGTGCGATATTGCGCTGCGATAGACTGGTGTCTCATCGAGGGTGTATACTGCATTGTGCCCGTTGCTTACCTAGATGGGCTCTGGATCCCCCTTGACCTTGTATTGAATAAAGTGGTTAGAAAATAAATGGATAAATGATAACATTCCAAATTAAGAATAGAACAGGTTATTATTTAAGATAAAATATGAATCCTTTAACAATTTACTCAGAGTGTACTGCTCCAAGAATAAGAAAAAAAAGTCTTAACTTGTGAGGCATAGACCACACACATACCTTTACTCACACTTATACACTTATATTATTTGTTTCCCCACTGAATTATGATAATTTTGTCACGTACTGGGTAATGGGATCACTATCGCATTTTCCTCCATCCCCCCTTGTCTGTCATCGGCTTCCTTGTGTGGGGTTACGAACTCGGTCTCTGCCTGGGTGGAAAAGTAATCTGATCCCCTCCATTAAGGTGAGCTCAAGGAGGGGTTTAGAGTTCAAACCCAGGCTCTCATGGAAGTTAATGTATTTGACTTGTTTATACTTTATGACATAAATGATCCTTCTTGGAGCTACTATAGATAGTTTTATCACAGCAGAAAAATTCCTGTTGCTCTCTAAGTATCTTGTATTAACAGTATGCAAATCAGAATCACACATTTTTGATAACATGTGATTTCACAGTTCTACACCAGGGTTTCTGGTTTATCTTCAGAAAGTGATGACCTCACTAAGCACACAGTCAATAGATTGTTTCTGGTGTGAACAATCCAATAACCCAAAGTTGCAAAGTTTCTCAGTGTTGAGCTAAAAATCTAATCTTTTCATCACTAATCAGTAAAAAAAGAATCTATCCTATCCAGTTAGGATTTTATTTTAAAGCTGTGGGGGGATATTGTTAATCTTGCACTTTTGTGGGCCTGCTCATTTGTAAATACACTTATTTCTGCCACCTAGTGTTCATTTTTCAGGCTTTTCAACAATATTCTGGAAGTAAATACTAAAAGAAGAAACAGGTGTTTTAAGAAAATTTAGCAGGGTTCACTTTATGCTTGTGTGAGAGGACAAGGATGTGTGCTTCAAAGGAAAATTCACTGCCCTATACAAGAAGGTGAAAACATGCCTTTTAAGCCTCTGCTATACAAGTGCCTTGTAAGTTACGCCTTGAATGAGAGGTACAGACAAATGGAAATTGTATATTCTTAGAGTACATGTGTTAATTAGCAAAGCATTCATCTCAAGGCAGGCCGGTGGTTCATTTCTCCTTTCTAGTTTTATACTGAAACACCACAAGAGCCTGAACACACAAAAGACAGTAGTGTTCTGAATAACAGCTCATATGAAGGAGTTTAAATGCTGTGTGATGCAGCCCTTTATTCTGATCTGTTCACACAGGTATAATTACTGTGCTTTGCTCCACCCAAGATTACAGGGGTTTGTTACACCCGATGCCAGAGAAAGTACTTCACAGCTTAAATATTTAATTAGACACCTCACAATAAAGCACACAGCTTGGGAATAATACGAAGTCGTGTAGAAGTGGCTGACTAAGCTGCTCTTATACTACATATAAGCTCTCCAGATAGGAAGTAAAGTATTATTGCCAGTAGATTTATTTGGTGACCGATAGCTGGCTTCCTGTTCTCTGGTCCAAATGGTTTTCTGTCCAGGAGGCTGGAAATGAGGCTTCTGCACCCCTCCCCATGCCAGAAATATAAAAATTGAGAGGAGATCTAATCAGAGTCAGACTGAAGAGTCTACAGTTAGGCATTTTACTTCTCTGTCTGCAAGTGGAAAAGTGAGACTGTTTTCATGACAGTTTTACCAGCAATAGGCTACCCCAGTGAAACAAGGCTGCTTTGATGTGCCATTGCTTTGCCATAATGATATTCACCTCTAGGCCAGACATACTGTACTCTATTCCAGCAGTTAATTCCAAGGCCATGGCTGAATTGTTGGCGGAGGGGTTGGTATAGACAGCAAAGCATTAAAACAGTATTACTGCATATAATTATTTATCATTTTCCATCTATCAGAATTTTGTGTAATCAGAAAGGCACAGATTATATCCCAAGAGTCACTGAGGGACTTGAATGCCAACCTTGAAAACAAGTGAAAGAATTTGACCATGCAATACAATGTAAATTAATACAAGTGACGTCTCAAACAATCCTAATCCACTACAATGATAGACCAGACTGAGGTTTAAAACAAAAATAAACAAAGCTGGTGTTTATTTGACGAACATGTTATTGGCTCAACCCAATGAAGAAAAAATGCAGTCTATCTCAGGTTCAAAAGCCTCTCATTGTGTACCCCCAGTGGGAATGAAAAAAACTGGGGAACAATACTGGTACCTAGTTTAAGATTCGTCTTAGCCTTGATGTCATCTGAGTGCTGTGTTCAGATGAATTCTGATCTTTATTTTCCGTGTTCAAGCATTACCGAGTGAGCTTGGTTTCTGTCAGCCTGAGCACTCTGTTCACAGGGGAAACCTTGTTATTATACAAGTTAAATGCACTGACTACTGTACCTACATGCTTACTAGAAGTTTGCCCTGTAGCAGAAGCATGGTGCGTCTGTCTCCCTAGAACAAGGTTAATGATAGAGGTTCAAGACTTCTGGGTTTTAAGGTTTTACAGTCAGAGGCAGGGTGAGTTGAAAACCCAGCAGGAGGCCAGAAATGATCAACATTAAAACCTTACTCTCTGAATCAAGCTTTAGTATAGGTAAAGAGAGGTCCCCAACCTAAAGCCTTTTCTAACGACTGAGAGGGACAGGTACTATTCTGCGAACAGAGGCTGGAGATGGAAAAACCTGGGGTTGATTCATCCATGACCTGACAGCCCCCCTTCTTTTTCACTGAGCTCATTTGAACTGAAACCCTGTCTCCTGGGTCCAATAGCTTGTCAATTCAATGTCCATGGATGAGGTCATTTGAGTAAAAAGAGCATCATGCCATAGACTGATGTGATGATGCTTATGAATCATCTTTTTAATCTGTTATGCAGGGGTGTTACAGTGAGTCTATTAACCAACAGTATTTAACTCATCATGTACAGTAGTTCTGGCTATTTCTCTAGATCATTAATGACTATTTTCAAGCGAGAAAACCCCTGAAACCTTTAAGAGATCTGCAGTTTACCTCAATTAGGAAGGATACAAGTGACTTTTTAGATTTTTCTTAACATAGCTTTGTTATTCTCAAAGCAGGTTAAGATCCAGAGAGAGGAAGACATACTGTACAGAGAGGTCTGCCTTTCAATTCAGCACGGAAGTACTGTACATGAATATGAAAAGCATTTTTTCCAGGCAGTTGGTCATTATAACATTTTCATACAGATGATCAGTTTTAACATTTGTATCACCAAGACATTCAATCAAAAACAAAAATGAATGAAACAACTAATCAATCCTTGCATAGTAAATCTAGAAGATGTCTGCCTTTCAATTCAGCACGGAATTACTGTGTACTGTTCATGAATGTAAAAACATAGAAAAGCATTTTTTAGGAAAACATTCCTGTATATTTGCCACATTCACAAAATACCTACTGTACAAATGGTTAAAGTAGTGTGTAATTTTAATATCAGGATCTCCCTGTACAGTATGTTTGGTGCAAGTCACCCCTTGTGCTAGCAGTTACTCTTCCATATGGCTATTTAGTATCCTGTGAAGCAATGAAGAAGCTTATGCTTGCTTCCAGTGTTAGCTGTGGTTGTCTTTCATACCCTCCCCCCCCACACAAATAACAGAAGTCCCATGGACTCCTTAAATACTCATGCTTGAGTGCTGGGCTTTTTGTTGTTTTAGTGCAAACTTGTTGTACAAATACAGCACAAGAATATTGAACATTAACAGGATGTCATACAGTATGTTACATCAGAAAGACTTAACATTAACCACAACTACTGTATTTACATAATTACAATTGGCATTACATTACTCATTTATAACAAGTAATTTACTTACAGTATTGATACAAATCCTTTAAAGTAGAAAAAAAGGAGTTGTATTATAATAGTGAACCCTTCTGGATTTTGATCAAAGAATAAGTTTTCACAGCATTCCCTTAAAAAAAAAGCTTGAACATGCATAAAGATATGTTTTTTTTTAAATAAGGGCTCTAGGCACATAAGGCTTTCTTAGATGGGCCTTTTTAGTTTCTTTATTATATTATGCATTACAAAAGTGCATATACTGTACTGTATGTATGTGAGCTGCAAAAGAACACGCAGAAATCAATTCCACACTGAAAAGTAAAAATAAGGAAGGAAAAACCCATCCTTTTGGCTGTGGAGCCTGTAGGTCTTGATACTGTACATAAAACTCTGGTTGGTACAACTACATTCAAAGAGTGAATCTTATTAGCAGTACTTCCTAATGTTGACAAATCTCACCAATTAGCAGACAATGTGTCCACAGTTTACCTCTAATAAGAAATAATGACCTAGGGTACTATATATTGCTTTTGTTTATTTTTCACATTTCATAACAATTAGCTTACCAATCAATTGATTTATTCATTGGTAACTAATTCTCATTAAGCCATGGAAGATGCATGATAAATAAAGCTCCTAAAGGTATATACAGTAGGGATCATTCACAACAAACAAATCCGAGTCTCTTGTCAGAGAATCAAACTGCTTGTTTAAGTACCTTGAGTACAGGAACAGAACTTTATCACAGCCTACAGACTGTAGTACCCATCAGCCTTGGCAACTGGCCTGAGTGGTGAATTTAGAGAGATGATGAATTATGACCTTTCCCAGGGCAGGTCTGCCTTCCTCCTGAAGGCCAGTGGGAGAGAATGATCATGTGTCCCCATCTGCACCATCTTGGCAGGTCACACAGAAGCAGACTGCAGGTGGGACATCACCAGCGAAGGGCTACTATCGCAGAGCTGTGTTTGGAGGAAAGGGTTTCCATTCATACATTATCCTGATGGATTACAATTGCATCAAGGTCAGCCTTTCATGATCCTTACAACTGAAGCATTTCTATTCCAGGTCAGCAGAAACTCATCCATTTCTGATGACTGTTACAAAACCTTCGGCAATGCTTTAGGTTATGTTGTGTAAGTGTTTAAAGAGGAGCTGTAGTCCCAATTTCTCTTACCAGTCATTAACTCTCAATTAAATAAATTCATTGGTGCTATAGAACATTTTTACAAATTCTAAATTAAGTACAAAATTTGTAACTTTGTGAAAGTACAGCAAGTGGGCATGTTGTCACACACCCCCAGCCTCACCACCTACGAGAACAACAGTTTGCACGAATTGCGACATGTGGCCCTTCCTGCTTACTAGTCACTGTAATGAGTGATGTACAGTACAAGCAAATAAGTACAGGTTGTACAGTACAGCAGACATTTCACCACTAAAAGTTCTAGTGTGATCTGCATAGAGCTAACGAGTAAGAAGTATTTGTTGCCAAAGCCCATCTCAAAATGGAGAGCAATATTTCTATTGGATTAAAAGATGTACAGTAGGTCAGGATGTGAACGGCAGAACCAACTAGAACACACCTCTGGGAGTGTATATACTGTAAGTGTAGAGCTTAAAATATTTATCAGGTAATTTGCAGCTTTCATAATCACTTGAAGTGTTTTTTTAAAAAATGGTTCAAATCTGAATAATCATGTTAAAGGTTTAGAAACATCAAACCTGAATAGAATTTATTCAGATTGTCAAGTTAGCATGGAAAGTACTAACAGCATGGAAGAATCAGACAGCGCACACACTGTATGACGGCAATAAGGAAAGACTCAATTTCCATTTCTTAGCTCATCTGTGTTCCCCCCACATTTTCCTTGTTATCATATAGAGGGTAATAAAATCCCTGCTGTCAATGCATGAACATGGCTTCCCAAAGTGAAAATTCAGTATCTAAAACTGCTGAATAAAAAACTCATCACACCACTTTTTATGCTTAAATATCTTCAGGGAAAAACAGTCAGAATCGAACCAGCCATGATCTAAAAATCAACAATCCCCTACATCTTATTCTTGGAAGCCCTGGATGTTTCAAGCAAAAGCATCCAAAAAAAACAAAACTTTGTGATGTCTAAACTGGAACATGAAAGGCCCTGCAGCCAGAGCCTGAAGCCTCTGTGTGACAGTTGCCAAACACCTTGCACTCATAACCCAAGTCTGATTTCAACTCAGGTTTCCAGACATTAAATACCTTTCAGGCAGGTCAAATGGTTTTCCATGCTGGCTTGACATTTAGCAGTTGTGATCTATACAGTAAGTAGTTCAATCACTTCAATAATCCAGGCTACAGGAACAAGACCTATCAGAATGTGTAAAGTATTTAAGCATTCTAGGACCATATTGGAGTGAGAACAGCACGTATGTAACAATGACCTTCAGTCTTGTAACTGAATCATGATTCTTTTTGCTCTGCTTTATTAGAAATGATCAGGAGTCGCCTTGTAATGGGGAATTCTACAACTGTCTCCACAAAGGAACAGCATGTTCTGCTTTGCCGTTCTTAATGTAAGGCTTTAACCGATGCTCATGGAAGGATACAGAATAGATGCAAAATGCAGCCTTTAGAGCCATTTCACACAGCAAACTGGCAAAAGCACACTTTTATAGATTCCAGGCTGTCCCATACAAGAAAAACCGAGCCAGAGCATCCAAGTGATTTCACAACAGTAATAAACACTAGGGGGGCAGTCCACACATGCAGTTTGTCTGGCTTCTAGTAATCCAAGTAATTCATTTATTGACAGTATTTCTTAAAAGGAACTTGATCTTCTAGAGGGAGCTGGTTCTTTATGCCCACAGTACTCTGATTAAAGAAGCATTGTTGTCTAAATTAATTACTCCTATAGTTTCCACTAGCGTTTTGGGAAACCTAGTTGGGTAGCTTGTTCTGTACTCCCTATACCTACAAAGAAGTTCCCTCGGTTCTCAGCTTTAAATGCACTTCCATAAAGTATAACTTATTGTTTTGGAGAGAATTTCTAGCTTTGTTTAAAATATTCTTATCACGACTTCACATTTGCAGTTAAAGATCTTTGTAAACATGGCAACTCCCTTATTGTGATAAGGCTCCAGCTTCTACAATTTCCTGTTCAGGGCAATAAAATCTGAATTAGAAATTAGAACAGCAAAGTTTCATAGAGCTTTTCTGTGAGACTGATATACTGCACCTTAGTAATGTCAGCTTCTACTTGTTAGTGCTCATTGCTTGAAACCTTGATGAGGGATTTTCATGTTGTGGACACTAGAAATAATCATTTTGACAATATGCTGCGATTTGCAGATACTCTTATTCCACCAACCTACAGGTTATGTATAAAGAAAGCTTGCTTTAAGAACAAGAGATGATCACAAGCAGGGCTAATAAAGGAAATTGTATTACATTACCATTATAATTCAGCAAGCATGATAATGTTGGAAAGTGCCAATGTATGCTGAATACGCTATATAGAGAGCCTTAATTTCAATTCTGGGAGCCAAGTAATGAAAGACAAACCCTTAGGGCATATTTTGTATGGTTCTTACACTCAGAGGGACACCCTGACTTCTCTTTATCATTACTAGCAGACTGCTTGCAGCACTGATCCTGATCATTTCTTTCATATTCAAACACCGACACCTCGAAAGAACAACTTGCTGTTCGTGCTCTGCTTCACATAGAAACACTTGCTCAATAATTCATTCCAAAAAGAGACCATAGAACATCATACAGAATTTCTCTTTTCACCAACTTCCTACAGAAAAGGGCCATATACTGTAAGTGAATTAAGAATCTTAATAAACTGAGTTTCAATTCTAATTATAGTAATCAAGCTATTACTGGTAGTTATAGATAATACTTTATTAATCCCGTAGGGAAATTGATGAAATCCCATAGGGAAATTATACTGGACAAAGTTTGGTTGCAGGATTCAAATATCTGAATCCAGTTCACAAATATTTGTGAACATCTTTGATCTTTACTTAAGTCATTACTTACTCCCAAATTTACCCATCTGCTTGCTGTGCTACCTGTCAGTCAAACTCAGATGAGACAAAGGTGGCACTTTTGAGATCACAGAATCATTGCAATCAGATTCAACACATTAAAGGCAATAAGAAGCTTCAGGTTAAGGAATTTAGCTTCCAGAACAATTCTTTGAACTCTTCAAGACATACCAATTAAACTTATTCAAGCTCACATTATTTGTAGAACCCATTTTGGATAGTTAGATCAGCCATCAACCCATCTGTTAATTACCAAAGTAACATTATGTCAAGTCAACATGCTCCACTGCATAACCTTGTCTTTCTAGCCTTTATCTGATAGGGGACCTCAGTCTATCTTACAAGGATAGATGCACTCCTCTGGTTACATAATAGTTCAGTTCAGCAAATCTTTGCATAATCTGAATCTTACATGAAGTTGGAAATGCACATTTTTCACAGCTATTGTGTGAACATGTATACAGAATAACTATTCATGCAGAAATTGTCCCTTATTTTCCCAGCCATGTCCGTGAGTGAGGAAGGAGTAGGAACAGGAGAGAAGTAAAGTCTCACCTGGGTTTGTTGTTCTTTAATGGTTAACAGGTGTGTACTAATCAGCGGTGGGCAGGGAGCAAGAGACAAGATGAATCCAGTTCAAGCAGCAGTACATGAGGCAGAGAGAAATTCAGCTTTCCCCATTTATATACAGGGACAAAAAAAATGAGAATAGAATTATACTAGAATAATTAAACTCCAAACATAGCATATTCTTTTAGTACATATACACAGTATAAAAAATGAATTAGCAATTTGTTTAAAAAAAGTACATTTCATTATCCTACACCTCAGTAATTAAAATCACTTGGATCTTTACAATTGGATTACAATTTCCAATGAAAAGGTGCAAGATAACATGCAGTAGTGTGTACAAAAGAAAAGCAAGGCTGAAGTGAAAAACAGCTCTGGTGTTTGCTGGTGGTGGCATTCATTTACTAGTTATCTCAGGGCATCATTATTAAAATAATAATTCCTTGTCACCAAGAGGAGAGGGTGTGGATGTTATAATGGCTCCCTGTCAGGAAATGCTTGGTACAAGGCAGGGCAATAAAGGAGCCAACAAAATTAGTGACAGTGAACCTACATTAAAGTATTATTCACCAACACAAAGTTTGAAATTTGTTTACTCCACTGACCAAAATATATTTTCTACCATGAACTAAGATTGTATTGTATACTGGCCTTGCAATTGTAGAATAACCAGTGCTCCCGGCAAACTGTGGCTCAGTGCGACAACTGTAGTGGACAAATGCTGAACTAATGTCATTCTGCATTTGTCTTTGATTTAGTAACATTTACCATTCCCTTTTCTTCTAGCTGTAGCTTCACAGGTGTGCTGGACCACAAATTCACTTGGCAATTAACCATGGTACAGACAAAATAAAACTTGTGGCAAATGATCAATAAAGTATCACATCATGCAGACAAACAGACCTGCACAACTGAAATTCCTTGTTCTGAAGGAAGGATAATTGGCATTTTAATTGGCCAGGTCACTGGAAATTAAAGCTACAAATCTAACTATCCATGTAAGCCAGTATTTTTTAGCTTCTACAACAGAATCACCATGTAATTTGTAATGCAAGACTTTCAAAAATGCTGATTTTGAACATGAAGGCATACAAAAAGGAATGAGACATTCAAATTCTAGCTTGATGTTTAAATAAAACTACTTTGCTGCACCCTTTATATTTATTTGATAGAGTCTTGCTGCTTCAAAAAAAAAATTTAGTTATGAATCATTTTATAAAAGATTGTAAAAGATTACAAAGGAGAGTTTGTTAGCTAACATCCAATTGATCTACCATTTCTTGACAAAGATAAGCATCAGTTTCAACATCATGACTGGGTAGCATGTTCCATACTTAAACAAACCTGTTCTTACCATCTCCTTTTCCAGGTTTTATTTTCACTTCCATTTAGTTTCCACACATCTCCTGGGTCTTGTTTCACAGTTTCAAGTTCACTGGATTAAGTGCATCAACAACCCTAAGGATTTTAAATATTTGAATCAGTAATGTTCTCCATTGAAGACTAAAAAGACTCAGTCACTTTAGTCTGTCAGCCCACTAAGAGTGCCAGCCCAGGACATACTCTTAATTCCAAGAATGTATCTGGCTGCTCTTCTCTGGGCTATTCCAGAGCAGTAACATCTTATTTGTAAGATCCTGACCAACATGTTACACTGGATTCCAGTAATTTAGAAAAAGGATGAACCCTGCACAGTTAACAAGATAACAAGGAAGCCATAAACTAGGTGATTAGAAATATCCAAATTAATTATCAAAAGGATAAGTATAAAGGCCCAAAAGCCAAAAGAGAGACAAACCTTCAATACCCAACACAGGATCCAGGA